AACACACACACACACACACACACACAATTGATAAATGTCAAAGCATAGAAATCTAATTGAACTTCTTTTTTTTTTTTTGGTTGGGCCAACCCTAATTGAATGAAATTTACAAGTTTAATTAGAAATTTAAGATACTACTATAAGGAATTATGCTTTAATTAATGTGAATGTGATTGAGATTAGAATTTTATTTGTAATATGATTGTGTATTTATTTTATTTTTTTATTATACGATCAATAATTGATATCTAATCCGATTATGAGGATAAACATGGATTTAATGGTTGGAAGATCACGTTGATTGCGAAAGCTTTACCTAACTCCTCATTTTGCCCCCCCGCCAAAACTATCAAAATAGAGCAATGCTACGTGGACGTAAAAAATAGAATTAAAAATTAGATTTGATAATCTCAATCATTAATTTTACTATAGGTTCCAATATTTATTGAGAATCATTATCTATTTAATAATTAAAATTATCAATTTTAATTTTTAAATTTATCGACTCTTACTCGTCAAATTAATAATTAAAATTCACCATTTCCCTCTCTTTCTCTCTCGCCGTCTCGCTCGCGAAGCCTGTCTCTGAAACGTTTCCAAATCTTTGCATTTCATCACCAATATCAAGCCCTAGTTTCTCCGAAAAACATCATCACCAAATTAAAAAGGTTTTATTCACTTTTTAATCCCCTCTCTCTCTCTCTCTCTCTCTCTCTCTCTCTCTCTCTCTCTCTCTCTCTCTCATAGATTCATAATTTTTTTTTTCAAGGAATTGGAGGCCTTGCAAGGCAGTTGGCGTACAGGGTCTTTTTTCCCTACGTGTACGAAATGGCGACACACAACCGTCGATCATCAACGTCGTCGTCGTCTTCATTCGCCAAGAGGCATTCAGTGTCGGAGAATCCTGGAAAGGCTACGGCGGTGAAGCCACAATTGGCGAAGAAGAGGCCCGCTCTGACCAACCTGACGAACCAAAGGGATGGGCCTCAGAACGCTTCACGGACCACCATTGTCTCCAAAACTATGGTGACTCTCTCTCTCTCTCATTTCTCTCTGTCTCTCTCTCGCTCTTTCTCTGTGTGTGTCTGTCTGTCTGTCTGCCTTTTTATGCGGGTGTACTTAAATATATACCAGTAACCATTGATTACTATCAGAACTAACAAAGGGTCATTACTAAGTTTGGATTAGCAATTAATTTCAGGATTTATCTTGGAAGTGCAAATTGGGTGCCCGAAAATTTACGTAGGGAATTTTTCTAATGTTCTAACGCACACTTTTTCGAAGTCAATTTGAAACAAAAAAAAAGTGGCGTTGACAATTGATTACTTGTGTGAATCAGTGATATTGCTGGACGTTGAGTACTAATATCTGATCTTTAACATGAAACACTCTTGCATGACAATCAAGGTTGTGTTCAATTTTAACTTGTCCATGGCATAAAATTCCTAAGCAAACTTATAATAATAGTGTTAGCACTGAACAGGTTAAAGCAATACCATAATATTTATGTGGCAGGAAGATCTTAATATCCATTGAATACAACGGTGGCATGCATAGTCATTACACTTACTCTTTATTTCTGCTACTTATAGTCATTAGTATAATCTAATGAATTCAATTAGCATTTAATGAGGGTGAGCCTTGTAAGGTTGTTTCATTGAGATATGGGTCCTAGGTGTCCCAAGTTCGAATCGAAGAAAAAAGCCTCTTAAAGTGCAGAGTTAGGATAGCGTATTCTGACCATGTCCAGTCCTGCATTGATATGGGACCTTCATATACTGGGCTACCATTTTTTAAACAACTACTAGCAAAGTGGGAAAGTATCAAGAGGCTACAAGTCTTCCTAGAGGAGCTAGACAGTGGACAGAAGAGTTTTATATCTTTGAAGCTTGTTTTGCTCAAATTGTTGATACATTATCAAAAAGTGGAGTTTGATGGCATTTGATGGTGTTTATATTTTCATGCTTACTATCGTATGCCAAGAAGAAAATATATCAAGTATTTGCCGAAATCAAATTCATGTCAACCAATTTAATGCATTGGTGCTTTAACTTCATTTCACTAATATAGTTCCAAATAAAATAAAAAATTGCTCTTCCCCTCATCAATATTCTGTTTAATTTCTTCCTTCCTCAACTACTATCAGGCCTTTGTTTTCACTATTGTATGTAAATTGTTTTTATTAGTAATTTCTAATTAATATACGTCAGTTTTGTGGTAGAAGAAATAGGTGTGATATACCTCTGAAGTGTTAAATAATATATCCAAAGCATCTGAATTTCGTTGCCTCACAAGTTTTAACTGCCTAAGCCTGATGGAACTATGGGGCCTTGATTAGCCCCTATGTCAGCTAATGTGACAGCTGAATACCCCATGACTTACTTCATAATGATCTTTACATAGTCTTGGTCACGATACGTAACTTTATTAGCTATATCATATCATGTTTTCTGCATGCTGGTTATTTCAATGTTACTTATTTTCTTGCAAATTATGACATACATATTATGGATGAATGCCGTCATATGAAATTATAATTTTGTAAGGATGTTAAAGTTGTACAAAGAAAAAAGCGATGTTAAAGGAAAACCTCCTAAACACAATTTCTTTGGTACATTATTTGAGGCATCCGTGAGTGCATTGATATTCGTCAAGACAGTGGCGCTGTGTTGATAGTTAGCTGACATGCTCCTTTAAGTTCTAAGGTTAAGAACATGAAAAGNATTTGAGGCATCCGTGAGTGCATTGATATTCGTCAAGACAGTGGCGTTGTGTTGATAGTTAGCTGACATGCTCCTTTAAGTTCTAAGGTTAAGAACATGAAAAGCAAAAAATCTTGAAGTGAGTTAAGTATAAGAATTATTTTGTTATCTAAAAGTTCTTTCATGAGAGAATGTATTAAGTTTTTGAAAATTTTGGGAATCATATGAGGCTAAGAAGTACGGACACTTCATTGTGGGCAAAGTGTCGGTGTCGGACACGTTTGGAACACGGACACATTTCGGACACACTAAAATGAGTGTCCCATTTTTTTATTGTTAAATTTTTGTAGAACACGTTTTGAACTCGTTGGGAACACATGACCGACACGCTCAGGACACGTTAGGGATACGCTCGGGACACGTTGGGGGCACGTGACCAACATGCTAAGGACACATTTTAAGATTTATTTTAAATTTTTTGAGAATTTTTTAGATAATTTTATAATTAGGAGTTATTTTGTAATTTTAAAGGGATATAAGTCACAATCATAATATAAAAATAAGTTATACTTATTATATTGAACATAGGACAAGATGATACGAATACAAACTTATATACAAATGAAATAAACTTTTGATATGACAGTAATGTAAGAAAAAATGAGATTACAAAATTGGGGCTCTTGAAAATTGATGAAAATTAGTGTTACAAAGGGAAATATTTTTAAAAATAAAAATTGTAGTAGTCATTGAATGTTAGATCATGGATGCTAATGTTGAATGTGTATCGATATATCTTATATTGTACTTTTTATGCAGCNAAGAAAAAATGAGATTACAAAATTGGGGCTCTTGAAAATTGATGAAAATTAGTGTTACAAAGGGAAATATTTTTGAAAATAAAAATTGTAGTAGTCATTGAATGTTAGATCATGGATGCTAATGTTGAATGTGTATCGATATATCTTATATTGTACTTTTTATGCAGCGATATCACTTGAATTTTTAAAATTAGGAAAATAATGAATTAAAAGATTATTGTGATAATATTTTTATTTTATCATATATATATATATATATATATATATATTATTTAATGTATCACCAACGTGTCGGCGTATCCGTGTCGTGTCATATCGTATCTGTGTCCCGTGTCCGTGGCCGTGTATGTGCTTCTTAGAACAATGAGGAGCTTGCTTTCCTGGCTTCACTTCAAAGTCAAATAAATATACAGTACAGTAACAAGGAAAGATTGTGACCATGGGGCAAGTGAATAGCTGCAACATTCTCCATTTATCCTTGTCTAGCGCATATCCATTATCAATAATATGTTTTTTATTTTATTGGTTTGAATGAATTTTAATGGTTAAGGTTAAGGGATGATTCTAAGGGGCCAGTTGCAAATTTTCGATAACGAATTGATATTTGATTTTTATTAATATTTTTTGTGGCGTTTCTATTTCTACCTGTTAAAATGTGTATAAAGTTCATATGATTGTGAAGCCATGAAACCCTTTTTTTTTTGGTTCCATTCTTTATTATTTGATTAGAATAGGCATTTTGTCGTTCACTTGTTTAATTGACTATGCATCATAAACAAAGGTGCCATGCAATGCTAAAGTTGACGGGATGAAGAAGGGATCTTCTACTTTCATTTATGATGAAAACAACTCAAACAATTTCTTGCCCAAATCCTGGAATGTGAATTCAAGTGCAGTTTCTTCCAAGGATACATATATTCAGAGGGTTGATCAATCCATAATCAGTGTTTCTGCCTCTACTCCCCTCAGTTGCATGGATGTTTCTCCGAGTCAATCTGATAATGGTTCAGTTTCTTTAGATGAGAGCATGTCTACTAGTGATTCTCTGGGGAGTCCTGAATTTGAATATGTAGACAAAGATGGTGATTTGGTGATTGGTATGTGTGACAGTCTCAACACGTCAGATCATGCGGGAGTAGCAGGTTCCTTATTTTTCAATCCAGCATTTCACCTTCCAAGTCATTTGTCGTTTTTGTTAGTCTAGTTGTCCAATTAATTAAGAGAAATATGTTTCTGTTCAAACTTTCACGAATGGTGCAAGGATGAATTATGTTAGTATGAATTCTGAAAAAATATTCATTTATTTCATGCAAAAGTTTGGCAATAAATTTGTGGGCCGCGATAGTTTTTCCAAATTTTCAGTGATTCCACAATGTAAGGAATTAACATTTTCTTTTTTGTAACATACTTCCTGTTATTTTGCTCTCAGGGGATATCTGCAAGGCTAACACAGTGTTGGAGATTGAAACAGTTTACAAAGTTGTTAATGTTGATGATAACGTCACGGATCCTCAATTTTGTGCAACTATAGCATGTGACATCTATAAAAACTTGCGTACATCTGAGGTGCGTTGTCTTTTTTCCATGCTCAAAAATGAATATGGTATCTGTTGCTTATNAAATTTTCAGTGATTCCACAATGTAAGGAATTAACATTTTCTTTTTTGTAACATACTTCCTGTTAGTTTGCTCTCAGGGGATATCTGCAAGGCTAACACAGTGTTGGAGATTGAAACAGTTTACAAAGTTGTTAATGTTGATGATAACGTCACGGATCCCCAATTTTGTGCAACTATAGCATGTGACATCTATAAAAACTTGCGTACATCTGAGGTGCGTTGTCTTTTTTCCATGCTCAAAAATGAATATGGTATCTGTTGCTTATATTATTCACTTCTTGCATTGAAAGACCCAGTCTCAACTTTCATGTTTTGTGGTGTTTTAAAGTTTTAATTTGTTCTTACAAAAACTGGATTTAAGTCCAATGATTGCAATGGAATGCATAAGCTCATTTGTAGGTTAGAGTAATGCAGTAATCTCATATGTTTGAATAACTTGGTTACTTAATGGCAAAGCTACAAAATATTCTTTCCGATGAAATTCTATATAAACAGAAAAAGCTGACATTCAGCATATATCCAATGACTTGGAAGACTATCGTAATTACAGTGTCAGTGGATTAGTTTGCTTGAACAGTGTCATGCAATCCTTATTTTTGTAAATTTCGTATGTTTAGTTGTTAAGTAATAGACATGTTACTCCTTAGTTGTGTTAAGCTTTTTTAATAAATATGTCATAACAATCAGAGAATGGATCAAAGGGGGTAATTCTTCTTTAAGGGAACAGAGATTCATGTTAAAAAATTTTGTGGATGAATCTTTTGGGTGCCACACTGACCATCATAGGTATTTCATCTTTACTTGCACAAGATACAGTCCTGCATTATAATTCTATGGATTGAGTGACCTCTTAAGCAATTTGTAAAATTTATCAAGTAGCAGAAAAATCTATAGCTGAAAAACACTGCTAGTTCAATGCAAGAAAAAAGGCATGCAATTGCCGGAAAATTCATGTGGTTGATCGCATTGTTCCTAACTTGAAAAATAAAGGTTTTTCCATTGAAATCGTGTGCTGACCTTGAATGACAAAACTATTATTNTAACTTGAAAAATAAAGGTTTTTCATTGAAATCGTGTGCTGACCTTGAATGACAAAACTATTATTTGCAATTTGGTGATCTTTTTGAGTCAGTCGTCGAGGCAGGATTTTAACAGTTTTCTATGGAAATTACTGAATTAACTTCTATGCACATTCAGTTATCTGTATAGGATTGGCCCACAACCCATTTTTGGGGGAGACTTTGTGGTTCAACCAGTTCAACTGACTGGTCAAACCGTCTGGCCTCTCCAGTTCTTAAACAAGGTAACATAACAAAATTCACATGTGGGACAAAACTAACTGGTACCCGGTTCTGTTGGTTTTGGCTCCATTATCTCCATCAACATTACTCCAATAGTAGTTTTCTCAATATTATCCAGAGGATGGCTCAATTATTCAACTGAATCAGAATGTCAGTTAGCTGGTTTGACCAGCCATTCTGATCTAGTTTGATTTGTTGCGCAATTAGAGATTCTTAAAAATTTCACTTTAGAACTGTTCTGCTGTTTGATAGAACGTTTCTGATGTTGTTGATCTTATTCTGTTAGTTGGTGCATTAAATAATCATTCTATATGATTCATGCGATGCTTTGTAGACAAAGAAGAGGCCTGCTGCAGACTTCATGGAGGAAATTCAGAAAGATATTAATCCCAGTATGCGTGCTATACTGATTGATTGGCTTGTGGAGGTAATCTGAGATGTTGGTAATGTTGCTTTTGTAGATTCCTATGATTCCATGAAATGTTCAAACTCTGTGAAAGGCTGTGGCACTTATTTCAATCTTTTAACTGATGATCATGGCATCTAATTTTATATGGAGGTTGCTGAAGAGTACAGACTTGTACCAGAAACATTGTTTTTGGCCGTTAACTACATAGATCGTTATCTCTCGGGAAATACGATAAACAGGCAACGGTTACAACTGCTTGGTGTTGCTTGCATGATGATTGCTGCGTAAGATTTAACATTTCTTATTCATAATTTCTTCTTCTTCTTCATCATTATTATCACCATCACCATCACCATCACCATCACCATCATCATCATCATCATTATCTTCATATTTATCATCATCATTATCTTCATCTTCATCATTCTCGTCTTCTTCTACTAGCACTACTACTGCTAATACAGTAAAGATAATAGCGGGATTTGCGATAATACTGACAGTAAATACGAGNCCATCATCATCATCATCATTATCTTCAGCTTCATCATTCTCGTCTTCTTCTACTAGCACTACTAATGCTAATACAGTAAAGATAATAGCGGGATTTGCGATAATACTGACAGTAAATACGAGGAGATTTGCGCACCTCAGGTGGAAGAGTTCTGCTACATCACTGATAACACATATTTGAAGAACGAGGTTTGATTTTGTTCTCCTTTGGCTGAACTTTGCAATGCTGGATGCTTGTTGGTGTTTCTGTTTTTAATCTGCATTGACCACATAAATTGCTGCAGGTTTTGCAAATGGAATCTGCTGTGCTAAATTACTTGAAGTTTGAAATGACAGCCCCGACCGCCAAATGTTTTTTGAGGTAAGTTGGATGTCTGAACCTTATTGAAATTACTTATTTCACTTTATTATGCTGCTCATTCAATTGACTTGTTCTATTTTCACAATGCTAAGGCGTTTTGTTCGTGCTGCTCAAGGATTGGATGAGGTACATTGAACTGATCATTCTCAGTATTTCCATATTATTGCACACCAATTTGATTAGGTAAAGTCGGAGTTTTTGACAGTTTGTTGCTGTCATGGTAATGGTGTCTGTTACATTTTTTTTTTTTGATTGCATTGGGCGAAGTAACTTTTGCCAGATCCAAAAAAGAAAAGAGTAACTTCTGCCACTGAATACAGTTTACCATCGAAGTATTCTCATTATTGTTTATGTCATCAAATTTTTCTTTTTCAATTTGTTTTGAACATCATATTTCTAAGACAGCTATTGTTAGTAATTATTGTAACCGTTGTTAAACTTTGATACTCATTGGAAATTTTTTGTGCACTAAAGGTTCCATCAATCCAGTTGGAGTGCCTAGCCAGCTACCTTTCAGAATTATCACTGCTAGAGTACAAAATGCTTCGCTTTGCTCCATCCCTAATTGCTGCTTCTGCAACTTTTTTGGCCAAGTTTATACTCGTCCCTTCCGAAAAACCATGGGCAAGTGATTTTGTTGCTGGTACATTTTTAATAATGTCTGTTTATACACCCAAGTCTTAGATCATAATCCTCCTGTAAATATTTTGATACAGACTTCNATCCCTTCCGAAAAACCATGGGCAAGTGATTTTGTTGCTGGTACATTTTTAATAATGTCTTTTTATACACCCAAGTCTTAGATCATAATCCTCCTGTAAATATTTTGATACAGACTTCAACCTTGAAGCATTACACCCTTTACAAGCCCTCTGATTTGTGTGACTGTGTCAAGGAACTGCATCGCCTCAGTTATAATGACCATAATTCCACTTTACCTGCAATTAGGGAGAAATACAGTCAGCATAAGGTAAGCAAATCTCTGTCTCTGTCTCTCTCTCTCACACACACACGCGTGCACACACTTACATAGACACATGCACATGCAACATACAAGCACTGGACTTGTTACATGGTCTGCAGAATTGGCAATGGTACAGGTGGAATTTGTGTGGCACATTATAATCTACTCAACTTAATTCGCAAACTATCTTATCTTTTTTTGCTATCTTTTTCAAAATCAATTTCAGTCTACTCTGATATACTATGGTTAGGAATTTTTTCGTGTGGCACCAAATAATCTATGAGAAAAATATGATCCGACCAATAAAATTACTTCTCTGAAATGACAATTGCATGAGTGAAATTGCAGTGGCTGCCACACAGAACCCCCCCCCCCCC